TTTTAAATAAAAAAGCGTAACTAGGGTTTTAAACTACAATCAGATCAGATTATATTGATGAGTGGTTCTCTCATTCACCAGCTGAATTGATGCATTTGGCCTACCTGTGTTCAAATACCTAAAACATTTTGCTACATCTGGTTTGTGTAGTAATGTTGTGATCCATGACACTCCAGCAAATTTTGATTTAAAAATATTTATTCTTGAACTTTAGACAAACATTTGGTATTCATGTGGTACATGATGTGTGCTCAGTTTAACTGTCTGCACACATAAAAAGAACACCAAATGTTTCTGTTGTGATGCAATAATAGTCAAACCATATTAACTGAGACTATGTTCACCTTTATTAAATTATGTAGTGTCAGTCCATTAAAKTCACTAAGAATACAGTTTGATAATCAGCCACAGTTTCATACAGAGACAAACAGGTGGAGCACTATATGTGTCTTTATCCTCCCTAACTGGAGCATCAGAAAACTTGTAATGGGTCTGGGGGTTCTCCACCAGAAAATTCTGAATAAAGTAGAGGCTAAACAGATTCTTCATTAAACTAGTTGCATCATCCTCTTTTTAAACTCACTTATGGCTCAGAGAATTAATTTAATGTGATCATTTATCTCAAACAGGCTTAGAGGAGGTTTTTACATTTATTTTGTTTATTATTTATTAATTTGATCTTATTTATAACACAACATATTGTGCCAAACAATGATGACACACAACTGCATGTTTCAAACTAAAATCATTAACAACTTTACCCAGTGAACAACTGACATGACTTCATGCAGCTTTCTTCACAACATAAAATAACACTGTGCCAAACAATGGTGACGTCTATGTAAATTAGGAACAATTGATACATGGATGTTGGAACAGATTAGAAAGCTCATTTTTGCCTCCTACTCTTCATTTAAAATACTGAAGAAATTTATTGGTCATTTACTTACTGATATTTCCACTCTCGGCAGGTTTCTAAGGTTTTTCTTCTACATATTAAAGGGGACCTATTATGCAAAATTCACTTTTTAAAGTTTTTTTTACTCAACTTTGAATATGTACTTCTTAAAAAAAACAGTCCTAGGACCAAATAAATGCACCCAGGGGCATATTTAGTGTAAGTAAATGTATTTTTAATGTATATTAACGACAAGTTTTATACTTCCGTCATTTTGTGATGTCACAAGCCGTACGACAACCCACAGGAACCTGCGTTCAGCCCCTTACCTAGCAACCCCCGGGTGAAGCTCCACCTCCTCAGTATAAAAAGGCATCACCGTGTTGTTGTGCAATGCGCGGCTAATTTCACAACAAGCCTCCAATAGGGCAATGGGTAGAGTGTTGGACCAGAGAGTGGGAGAGCAGGGTTTGAGACTGGCACAGACACTATTTAATTTTTTTTTCATTCGTTATGAACAAGTTTTCTCATGTACTTCTATTGTTTAGCTTATTAAAACCTTGTTAAAGCCTATTTGTTCGAGTTTCTGAGGTATTTTGACCGCTGCTGCTCCCTGCTCTGGTAACAGCATGCAGAGTGAGCGCAGAGCAGAGGAGGGAGAGAAAAAGAAAGACGCTGCGACCGACTCTGCCTCTGGGTCTCATATGGTTGTACAACYGAGCTTCTGCTATTATTAGCCATGCTAACGTAAACGCTGGCTTTGGAGGGCGGAGTTAATGTCAACAGATTTTTGGAGGGCGTTACCAACAGAGCTCATTAACATAAACAGCTCTTCTGAACGGAAGTCAGAGCAGGCAGAACTAGAAAAGGGGAAATTTTATTATCTGAGTTATTTTGTGCATTAAATTGAATGAACATGGTCTGGATAGCCCACAGACATACCATAAACATTTCTAGGACCCATAATTGGTCTCCTTTAAAAAAGTTATTAAACATCTGAGTGGTGCACTACTGCTACTAGTGGTGAGAAAGTGTATTGCACATTCAAAATCAATGCGTTCCCACAGCCCTCTGCGGCCCAAAGTTAAAAACTGTTGTTCTTTTGAGACCCTCAAGGTGTCGCTCACGGCCCACAGGTTAAGAATCTCTGCCTAGTCTAAATAGAACATCAGTTGTTTTCTTTCTATAACTAAATATGTAATTTGTTTTATCCAAATTTAATGACAATTTATTATGTTTAAACCAATTTTGTACTTTTACAAATTGTATTTCCATCATTTAAAGCTGATGGAAATAGCTTTAAATGATTTTAACGGCAGATCTAAATTTAGCAGCTAAATGTTGGATCTGCCTTCGTTAAAGATATTTAACACACAAACAGTTTCCAGTTTTTACCTCTATGGAGTAATGCAGGGAGGAGCAGGCCGGGTGCAGCGACAGGTTCTGGAAAGGTTTGATCTGCGGAGCCTCCCAGCCGTCCCTCTCCGACCAGTCGATGGTCAACATGTGGTCGGAGAACTGCTTGCCGAACAGCAGCGTGGACGGGTCGGGCTTCGGCTTGCATTCCGGGTTCCGCACGATGGTGAGGTCCGCTGCCTGAGGCGGGACAGACYGGCCGGAGGAGGAAAGAGAGAGAGGACGGGCCAAGAGCAGAGCGGGCCGCGGGTACAGTGATTGTTTTCACATCGGCTAACGACAGGGCATGCTTTAGCTCATTTAGTGAAGGGTCACACAGGATCGGGCCGGTTGTTTAATTAGGTTCAATTAAACTGAATTAAATAATTACAACATGGAAAACAGCCACAGAAAAGACAGACGAGGAGAGAAACTTTAAACACAAGGAAACTTTCTGCTTTGCAGTCACATCTTCGAATTTAACGCTCATCTTACCTGGTGAACAAAAGAATGCATTTTATTTTTTACCTTGAAGGAGCTGGCGTACCGCAACGAGCCGAAGGAGAAAGGAAAGGTCCGAACAAGTCGTGCATGCAGTGCCTGCAAAGAAAYCTCATCAGATCACAAGTTGTAGCAGGAAACTTGGAAACTTGTAATTTCTGTCAAGGTCACATCTAACCTCGGTGAACTCTGAATAATAAATAACCGAATTAAGCAGCAATGAGAGGGTGTGTGCGCGCCAATCATTTGATCTGCAGTAAAAACAATGTTCCCTCTGACGCTCGCCTGCAGGACACAGCAACACAATGTTCCGTAAACAAAAGCAAGCAGGCGATTCTGCAGAACGAGGAATGCAAGGCGAGACACAGCTGAGGAAGAAGTGGAAAATAGGACGAGTGTAACAACAAAWAACGGTCTCACGTCACTAGTTTGGTCTGCTTCCAAGGTTTGGTGCTCAGCTTTAAGATGGAACTCGATAAGCAGTAATAATCAGATTATTTAGCTCTTTTTTGTTTGGATTTATGGAATCAAAAACAACAGGATTTTATTATTTTAGTTGATATTATATGGCAAGTTATTAAAGTGCCGGTGACATGCATATACTTCAAATACAAAAAGTCAAAGAAAACATCTTTATACTTAAGAAAATTGCCCTAATGCACACGATATTACCCATTTTGGCACATAAATGGCCTATTTTCTTTTGAATTTGTCTCGGTCAAAGTAAGACAGGAAGTGACATCAAAGGGGAACTCATTAATAAAATAAAATATTTGGTCTTTCTGTATTAAAACAAAAATAATTTGAAATCACTTAAACTTCTTCTCTACAGTGTGTGTTGTTAGCCGTTGTAGAAATGATCTGTTTACAAGCAGACATTCCCCTTTGACATCACTTCCTGTTTCTTCACATGCAAATTTCTCAACAACTGTTCATCTGAGCGACATGAAATTTGTTGTGCAACATGTTATTAATGTTATCTTTCCAAAAACATATTCATGTTTATCTCAACAACTTGATGTCACAGGCACTTTAAGAGCCCAGGTTTCATGTTTCATTAGCGCATCACTAAAAATATATCACTGATTCAGTTTATGTGATTATAAATCTGTAACCAGTCCAACACAACAATTAGCCATAACAATATGATCACAGACCAGTGGAGAAACCTTTATTCTGTTCTTAAAGATAATGTGTTGAAAGTTGAAAAAAAAAAAAAGGGTGGGAACATAAAACTGTGAGTCACTAAAATGACAGCCTAATAATGATGACTGCACTTCAGGGTCGTGGCGTCTCCACAGCTGCAGCACTGGAGGGGTTTTTGCAGACAGAGAAAGAATAAAACATGTAGAGGAAGAACAGGTTTACACAGCCACGGTTCAGTGATGCATGTGAAAAGAAAAGGCTGGTTTGTGTTACAACGCCCAACAAAACAGCTACTGTAGCTTAACTTACTGTGGAGAAAAAGTTATAGTGGTTCTGATATACAGGTCAAGGCGACAGATTGTGTGCACTGCTAAAACCCAATAGAAAATCTGGTTTAATTAGTTATTTTTCTTAATAAACAATACTGTGCATGAGTTGCCTGGAAGAAAGCCAGCAGTGGCAATACGATCTCCTAAATGATGTTTTGATGGAAAGCTTTGTATCCTGCCATTCATGTGGACGTTAATTTGACCCATAACCTCGTCATTGTTGCACCACTCCTTCGTGGTGATGGTATTTGCTGATGGTGGAGGCCTCTTTCAACAAACACACTGCAGAAATGTTTTACAGAGGTCTGAGGAACACAAGAACTCCAGATCTCAATATAAAGCAATGTCTGATGTATGAAGACAACGATTTTGCCAGGACTTAAAAAAATGTCTGTGCACGTCTCAACACGTAAAAACGAATCTCCACAGGTGGTCATAATGACATTAGAACTACAACTGCGGTGTTTCTTCATTTTAACCTGTTTTTTTTATTATTTGTATGCTTTTATGTTTGTCTTTATTGTATTTTTGATAGCTTTTCTTGTTTGTTTTAGTTTATCAATCATTATGTGTTTAACGTGCTATAGGAATAAAATTGACAGTTTTACAAGTAGAAAAGCATAGTATACATATGCTACGTTGAATCAGTCAGTGGATGATGCAAGTTTTCTGTGCAGTTGCACATTTTTTCCACTGTGACATCTTGCACGTTATCTTCCTTCAAATCTACTGCCTGATGCAAAACTGTTTAAAGGATTCCTGACATTGAAACTGCTGGTTTAAAAAGGATAAACACAGTAAATTTACAGTTTAATGTAAGAATATAAAGCCTGTTAAGYGTTTTAAACATTGGACATCTTTGCAGAATAACCCCAGAAATCTTCCCAAATCCACCCGTTTCTGATATGTATTTTTTCCTTTCGCAGATTTCACAAATCACTAAAACACAGAGCTGTCAGTGATAAAACGTAAAATTTAATATTTTATGACTCAAATATTTAAATTGAAAATCAGCCGATTTATTCAAAACACTTTAAAATTCATTATTTTATATAAGTAGCGCTTTAGCCTGTGTCATTTTCTCCCGAAAACCTAAACTTCATAATTTTATATGTGATTTGGTTCATGGTCTTTTTTCTCTCTCTCTCTGCTTCACTGCGAGCTGGCGGGACAAACTGTTCGCGCGCCTGTACCAGCGGTTGTCGCGGAAACGTTATCTCCTCACTGACAACKGATTTACTGATAAGTGACGTTAATCTTTAACCCGGGTTATCGGTGTCAACGGGCCATAAACAACAGACATCACTGAATGAACTCACCGTTCGGAGAGCTGCCATCTCCTTTACGTAGCGTCTGATAAAAAAGCCGGGGATTACTTGTTCGTGCGGAAACAAACAAACTCTTCTTTAGTTCCGCTCCGCTGCAGCGTCGCATAAATACTTGAACTAGTTAAATCACCATGTAGATAGTTTTTTTTTTATTTGTTTATTGTTAAGATTTAAAATAAACTTGGCAACTAAGATTTAATAGAAGGATGCTAGCCAGTTGAAAAAGTCACACAAAACAAAAAAAATGATTGCATATGCTTCAGCTTTTATTAAAGTTGTATTAGGAAAGGTAGTGGAGGCGTGTCAAATGCCCGGCATCTGATTGGCTGGGAGGCAGAGAGGTTACGGTAGGACAAAGAGGTTATTGCTGATTGGTCGATCAATGGGGAGGGTTGTAGGTCCTGTTACAGTCAGTCTAGATGCCAAAAATTACACCTAAAGGACACTTTAATATCCTGGATTAGCAATTTTCCTTCTTGTGTTCATTTTAGTCATGTAAACAATGAACATCTCAGTGTAAGATTAATCCACAGCTGCTCAAAAAGCCATAAGACTCCCTTGGAGGTCAGAGGGGTCAGGTCAGGATCTGACTCTTGAAGCCGTAGTTTAGTTCAGCTCCTCCACTGAGGAGCAGGTCGATGCCGGTGCAGAACGTGGCGTCTGCAGCCAGATACAAGGCAGCCAGTCCACACTCAGCCTCTGTCCCCATGCGGCCCATCAGCTGTTGGGGTGGGGGTGGGG